CTTTCCTCGCAGGGTTACTCTTGGGTTGGCTACTGGGGCTTTCATAACTCGGCGTGATGAGCGAGAAAACACGTTCCTAACAAGAAAATACATCATTACGAGCAGTGATGCTCGAATGCCGCTGCGACAGTGAAAGCACTGTGTAAGATGTCCTCACAACTGTGCTCGATTAGATGGTAGTATCTTCTGAGTGGTCGATGTGGGAGTGAGCGGACCGATCTTCATTGGGGATGCATCACTAAGACGATCCGACTCGGGCTAAAATCAGCGAAGACATTCACCATCAACGAACTGAGCAACATTCACTTACTTGCTGCTTGAGCCACTCGTCAAGAGCAGCTCTAGTAGATTGTCTCTTGTGCGAATCCTGTGACTTCAGGAACACAATAGTCTCAGCATCTTCAAAAGCTCGAGGTAATGTAGTAGGGAACTCAGTTCGACTGAGCCGCATAGATCCTGCAAAACACAAGCAGTCTTCTTATCAATGCTGAACAGGATCCACCTTTCTCTGCATAGAAGCGTATGTTTTCCATCGGGTTCTTATCCTTCATGCCCCAAGAAATCTTTCTCGACCGACATTCGATCTGCACCAGAAACTCAGCATATTAACGATGAGATGTCCTACCTCTCCAGCCTGAACTTGACCACTGGTGAGAGCCGCTATCTCTTCAGCGGCTTTGGTGAGATCACGTTGGCCGGGAGAACGTTCAGTGAAGGAACCAGCTACTTTGAAAAGCCTACAAGCCGACAATTGCATGAAGTAGATGCCGACGAACTGACTCCCTGTTGCTGATGCTTTCGAGCAGTCTGGTGGCTTCCAACATGTCCGGATGATCCCAGTCGACGTCCAACTTAACATGCCGGCCGTGCTGAATGAACTGATGCTGAACAAGACACAACAGGACAGTGGTAGCTCAGCTGAAGGAGCCGTTCGCTACAAGCCAATTGGTGACATGACTGAAAGCCACGGGATCTTCGCTGGCTTCACCGAGGGGTCTGAATAGCATCAGCATGTATTTGTCTATTCGCAACTATACGAGCC